ATTTGATTTTTGAACATTAAAACTTAAAATATGATTTTTGAAGTTGGATCTTGAAAAGTAGGGATCCATGTAATTTCCACTTAATTAATTCATGGATCAGATTTAATTAAATTGATTAATTAAATATTGGACCGGGCTAAGTTTAACAGATGGGTCGAGCCCGCTTGGACTTATATTAATAGGCTGCTAGGGTTTGAAATATGGATGGAATTTTCATTATTCTTGCTAGCACAAGAAAAGAAAACCCTAGCCGTCATTCTTGTTCTTTGTGTGGATCACCATTGGAGGCTGGACAATTGGAAAGCTTAGATTGCAGATCGTGGTAATTGGAGTTTGAGAATCAGCAAAAGAGTTTGCAGAATTCATCAAATGTATTATTCTAAACACAGTTTCTATCTAAACACAAAGCAGATCCGTGGTAGGAATTGAAAAATTATTAATTTTCTGCTGTACATGTTAAGTAAATTCCCAACAGTGGTATCAGAGCCTACTTTGTGTTTGTTAGAAATTGTTTCGAATTATAGAATAATCAAAAGGTTGATTGTTGATATTTTCTAAACACAAAGCAGATCCGTGGTAGGAATTGAAAAATTATTAATTATCTGCTGTACATGTTAAGTAAATTCCCAACACATATCTTCCACTTTAATTTTAAATTTATCTCTAATTTGGAAGATGCACTAATTCAAAGCGTGATATTTGCTGAATTCAAAATTTATCAGATATGGTGTGAGATATAATTATAGAACGTAGTCTTTCTAAAGATAATTATCATTATGAATAGTATTTGTAATTATATTTACCATTACATAGTAAAGTGTGAAATTTTATTTTATATCGAGGCATATACGAATTTTTCCGTTGCCCTAGTTGTTTAAGTTGGATAATTGTTTCATTTTACTATTGATCCCAACAGCTTTTTTCCCTTTTTGTGCCGTCCCCTTTGTGAGGTGGCTAGAGGGCGACGGTTTTCTCTCTTTAGTGGTGGCCGGCTGGAGTTGTTGGTTTCTTTCTCTTTGTGAGAATATTATATATTTGTGGGATTCTCTTTGTGGAATTGAGATGGCTATTTTGTAAGCACTTCTTCTTGGGCATTTATAGTGTTTTGGCCCTTTGGATCAAGTTATTGTGTGGTTTCAATGTGGTGTATTGAGTTTAAACTGAGTCCATTTTTCAGCCACCATTACCGCCGCCAAGCTTGGAGAAGAAGGGAGTTCTCATTTTAGATTTCTCTATTTATTAGTTCTCTATTTGATTTCTTGTATTAATCTTTGTTTTACTTTGTATTTTGCAAGTATTTTAACCCAAAAAATATTGTCACAAAACTGAGTTGAACTGTGAAGAAATCAGCGGGGATTATAACATACATCTCCTTCAACAGCCCCAGTACCACTACAGCCGTACCACCGAGCGTCAGTCCACTCTCATAAGATGCTGACGAATGATGAAGAAGGTTTGTCTTTTTCCTAATTTTTTTTCATTTCAGCCACTGAAATTGACACGAAAATGAAGAACAAAAGAAGCCCAAGAAATTTCTGCATGTACATAACAAATTACACAATGTATGCATACAGCGAGATTTAATTGAATCTTATCAATCAAATAAATTATCCACTTACATTTTGACACTTCATTGTTATGTAAAACATTATGTGAACACTTATGTACAACAAGCATTCTTCATGAATAAAAAAAAATACATATGAAACTGTACCAGGTCTTTTGCAAAGGCTTGAGAGATTTCAGATTACGACTCAAAATTTTCAGTTTATTTACTAAAATCAGCTGCTTACATTCATCTTCTTCTCTTGAAGTCGAAGAGATCAAAATCAAAAAATGTAGCTATTGAAAGGCTTAAATGTAAGACCAATGGCCCACGTAATATTATTAATTAATTAAGGGGTACTTACAAAAATACCCTTAAAATTAGGGATGTTTTGAAAAATCATATGAAAATTTTTTAGGAAGTAAAAAATACTGTGTAAAATGAAAAAGTAATACAATGTCACTTTTTTTTATAAAAATTGTCATTTTTTTTACTTTTTTAAAAAAAAGTGACAAAACTCAAAAAAAGTGACACACACTCAAAAAGTGATACAAATTCAAAAAAGTGACACTCAAAAAAATGACAAATACCAAAAAAGTGACAATGTCACTTTTATAAAATTGACGAGCAATGTTACTTTTAAAAAAGTGATACAATGTTACTTTTATTAAAAAAAAAAAAAAGATTTTTGTCACTCAAAAAGTGACAAAAAATATAAAAAAAGTGATAGAAAAAGTGAAACACTTTAAAAAGTGATAGAATTTTAAAAAAATGACAAATATTCAAAAAAGTGACAAACATTAAAAAATGTGGCAAAACAATAATCAAAACCTTAGAATTAATTCAATAAAGTGACAAAACTCATAAAAGTGACAAAACACAAATCAAAAATTTGGAATTAATTCAATAAAGTGATAGAAATTAAAAAAGTGATAAAAACTCAAAAAAGTGACAAAAATCCAAAACGAACTCGTTTTTATCAATAAGACAATGTTAAAAAAGAAAAGTTGAATAAAGCAATAATTTCCTTAAGCTTCTTCTCGGCTTCCTTCTGAGCTTTTATTGCTGATCTGGCAGCAGCTTTCTCAGCTGACTTCTTCTTTCTTTCCATTGCCTGCTTAGCCTTGGCAATCTCTTCCTCTCGCTTCATCTCCTTCAATTTCATCTCATCAACTTTAGGAGGATCATCCTTTTGCAATTGATGTATCCCAGAGACATCTCTGTCTTCACTTTCAATCTTGTCCAAGATGCTTTCGGTTTTCTTATTTGCTTCTTTCTTATTTCGAGCATTCTTTTCTTTTTGATCTTTCTGCAAAGAAGTATCATGTTGTGCAACAGGAATTGAATACTCCTTAGCATGTTGTTTCACGTTTGATTTCACAATCATCTGAGTCTCAGATGGAGTAGGTGCCTCAACTGCCGCAAGTGGCTTCTCATCTAGATTCCTCATCCGACCATCGGAACTCAATTGCCTCATGTCGAGTGATGGCAACACTCTCCTCTTGTAGTCATCTTTGAATGCCTTGTTACTACTACATAGGGAAATGAATTTCTCGACCTGGTAGTCGGAAGCGGAAGACAAATGTTAGACAACTAAGTGAAACTACCAGGGCTATTTGAACTCAAGGCAGAAAATTAATTGTCAAACCTCTGTATCTGAGAGCTCGTTCAGGGCTTCAACATCCTTCTTTGCTGCAAAAATCCAAAATTATTGCTCCAGTACCTACCATAAAATCAAAATCATTAGTCGTTGAGTTAACTCGAACGTGTAAGTGAGATATAGACAGAGATAGAGAGTTACTGGGGTGTGCATCTTCCTCTTGCTCTGGTGTAGAGAAACCGTGGTGCTCATTGCTAAGCAGAAGACGATTTTTAATTACATTAATCATAAAGAGGTAGTAGAGCTCGATGATTTTGGGGCAGATGATTTAACTGTGGAGGGTTTCTGGCCAGTGTTGGGGATGATGATTTGGGGATTTTGGAGCGTATTAATTACGGGGTTAAAGATTTTAATTAGTTTTAGGGTATTATTCTAATTTGTTAGTTTTGGAGGGTATTTGGCCTAATTAACCCATTAATTAATTAAAGTGGTTTCCGCTAAATGTAATTGGTTCATTGAGAAGTGCTTAACTGCACACTTCGATGGAAAGTGGGCAGTTTTAAGGCCCATATTAGAAACTCTCTCTCCATCCACAAAGTTGAATTTATCCCATAAAAATAATTACGTTCAATTACAGAGAGGAAAAGAGAGAATAGTTTTTTGATTTTCTTGTTTCTCTTTATTTTGCTGGTCAAAGTCTTTAAGTTGAATTATCAAGGATCAATGTATGTTTTTTGATCAATTCATTTATATGTGAAAATCATAGAATTCTAATATCTTGGTACAAGAGTTGAATTGCTTACATGTAAAACCTGAGAAAAAAAGTGGCTAATGATTCAATTTTCCAACTTAAGTTTTCAAGAAAAAGAAAATCAAAGTAAATTGCATTTTTCATAAAGTGTCTCTTAGGGTGCATTTAAGGATGTCAATTTGGCTCGTCGGCTCGGGTCACCCGTGGCTCGGGCTGGAAAGCCCCAGCTGGCCTGGCCCGAGGTTTGGTAGAACCGAGCCAAATCTTGGGCCGTGCCCCGTTTTGCGAAATTGGGCCGATCCGGCCCGTGTGATGGAAGGGGGGAAAGAGGCAGCTATGTAGAGATGAGAATTTTCCCCGCTCCGAACAAGTTGGCGGGATGGGATGGGGTGGGGCGGGGAGGGACAGAGCGGGGTTCACCGCACCGTCTCGGGTAGCGGAGATCCGCCCCGCCCCGTGAAGAATAAAAAAAATTGTTTTGGATATTGTTTGTTTTGGACATTTTTTGTTTCGAGTGCTTGCTTGAATATTGATGTAGTTAGTTTGAGTATTATTTGCTTTGAATTTTATTTTGAATTTGTATTTTAACTGGAAATTAAAAAAAA